CCTTGAAAAGGTTTTTACTACTCTCAGAATACTGTATTTTTTTCATTAAAAAAAAAAGGTGACAGGTATGTGATATGATGTTTCTTTTTGAAAACACGTTGTGTTTTGTTTTTCCCTCCAAACAGTGAAGGAGAACAGGGTCCAAATGGTAGCCAGAACTCTAGTTATAGCCAATCTTAAGACATTCCAAAGAATTTCTTTGTGGACCACTTTGACTCAAGACATCCTGGGATCTTTCCTGTGTTCATGAAATGGACAGAAGGCTTTAGTAACATCTTTGACAAAGAACTTGAAGACTAAATAGCTTGTTTGTGTCAAGCATTTCGAAAGCTTTTTCTCTAAAACCGCATCATTTTCTCTGAGGCTGGAGCAAACGTATTAAGATTTTTCAGTGTGAGGAATCAAATGCTAAACCAAGCTGCAAAAGATTAATACTATCCACTCAAAAACAAATCGTTCATTATTGGTTTAGTTTGCTTTCAGGAAATTGTAATTTCCCATCAAAGTGAACTATTTTTAAAGCAACAGTAGCCTGAGGCCTAAGTGTAACTGTATTAACAACTTGTGTTGTCTTCATTTTGTTTGTGACTGAAGGAAGATACTGCACTGTGTATTAAATCTGTTTGTTACCTTGAGTTTTCTTGGTTTTTAATAAATCAGATGTGGATTCTGTAACAAGTAACACGGCAGTCCTTCAGAAACAAAGCCTAGAGGAGCCTGCAGAGAATATTGTTAACAGTTGTAATGAAAGCTGCAGGAAAGACATTCAGTTCCTCTTTTGGATTAGAAAAGTGCTGTTTGACTCAGTAGTACTTGGATGTTTTGCCAGGAAGCGTAGTAGCCCAGCTTACCAGAGAAGTGCAATATGTATAGTGATTCTGCAGTTTTCTTAAACATTTCAAGTGTTAGGAATTAAAAAACCCCAACATACTATGATTTTTTTTTTTTTTTTTTTACAAGTAAATGTACTGTATGGGAGAATTGGAATATTTCACAATCAAGTACACATCTGGAGATGATTGCTATTTTTTATGGTGGTTTTTTTTTATACAAAAGACACACTGTTAGTCTGCCTTCACTGTTAGTGTGAATTTGTGTGGTTCATCCGAGAGTTTATTTAAGAGGATCAAGCTTTTGGTGAGCTTCATGCCAGCTAATTTTAATTGTGCTTTTAGAAGCAACTCTTTAGAAAAACTAAAATGGGATTCCTTGGTTAATTATGTGCTGGAGAAAATAAGATTCCTTCAGAGGGCCATGTCCTGTGTTCCTTACTCAGGCAGATACTCAGCTAAGTCAGGAATTGGCCTAAATCCAGTTTCTTGATGTGTTTTAGGTAACTTTGTTTCCAATTAAGTTCTGTACAACTTTGTTTTGAATGATAATGCCGACTTGCCCAAGTATAAAAATGGAAAAATAAAGTGCAGTAAAACTTTTTTTTTTTTTTTCTTCCCCTCAAACCAACACATTTTACTCGTCTGAAATATTGGAGGGAAAATCCTTGAAACCCCTCACTCTATTTTGTGTCTTGGTTGACAAGCTGGCCCCTTGAAAACCCCTGGTTTTGCAAATACCTGTCTTTGTAACTGGCTGGTCTTTCAGTGAGACACAACTGAAGTGTGTTTGTATGTAGCCCGTTAGGCTACATTTCTGTTTTTGAAATACATTTCAGTATTTCTGTTCAGGTTATTTTCATAAACCAATAAGTAAACAAGCCCAAACCATTTTGGTGAGATAGAAGATACATATGTTTTTGCTACTTCCGTTGCCATTTGATCTATACCTTTTATAGACACTTGATTGATGATGAATTTGGCTATTTCCCTTTGTTTCTTGAGTCTAAAACGTGCTATTTGTAATGTGGACTTGGGGAGTAGAAATAAATCAATGCAACTTGAGCACTGTGTGAAGTTTTTAAACTTGGAACTGTTCTTTAGGTAAACCTCAGTCTTCTCACATACAACACATAATCTCCTAAGAAAGCTCATGTTTTGAAATTAGGGATTTTACAGCATTAATGAAGAATTCTGGCTGCAGTCATTAAAAGTTTGCTGCTCAAGAGCCTTTGCAGAATTTACTTCCCACCCAAATCACCTGTGCGACCTCAACTCCAGAGCTAAAATACCAGGCACTCCTTGATGCTAAATAGAAGTATCTGAAGCCACTGTCCTCACCTCCCCAGCAGGGATGTCACCAGCTCTGATGGCAGTATAAACAGTGAAAGGCAATGGAGTGCAGTCAAAGGGACTGGATTCACTGATGACAGTTATAAAAATATGTAAGTTGAAATAACCAGGAAATGGAACATAATGCAAATGCAGCAGCTTTGTTACCAACCATACAGAAAAAAACAACTCACCTTTACTGTGCTTCATTTCAAAGGAGATAAATACATAAAAATGAGGTGTTTAATTAAAAGAGAAGTAGTTGAAAGTCTTCACGGATTATATGGTTACAGGTGACAGCAGTGTCAAAGCAAACACAGGTCACCTATGCCAAAAAGTCAACAAAAAATCTAAAGGGAATCAACTAATCTCCATCAGACAAGTTGTTTAACTCTAAAAGCATCACTTGAAAAACAAGTTATATCACATAAGGAAGATGCAGAAGACACAGAAGGGATCATCACCTTTGACAAGCTAAAAATAGTTTGAGAAACACCTTGTAAAAAACTACCATGACTAATAAAAACTAATGAAAATAAAAAAGAGGTCTACAGTCCAGTCCCTTTCCTATTGAGAAAAAAATCCCCAACTCTCCAGCTCAGAAAAGGTAGCAGAAGTCTAGAAAGATCACGAGTGGTGTGGAGACTGATGAGGTGACAACTGTTCACCACTTCTCACAGAAGGAGCATCCATGAGAACAACAGAGGGCAAGTTGGGAAGAAACAAAACAAAATAGATCGTTAAACCAAATGCATCCTGCTGAGACTGCTGGGAGTTTGTGTTGAAAATTTACAAATTCCCACATGCACCCAGACATGCAAAGCCTGAGGGAAGTATCAAAGCACCCTGAGCTGTAAATGAGAGTAATCTGGGGATTGTATCACTACATACCTACACTGTTCTAGGCTCTTCCTCAGATGTTTATTACCATTTGCTGCCAAACACAATAATGGGCCAGACAGATCTTGGTGACTGTATGTTGTTCATATCTTGTGGCTATGTAGTTTTAGATGTTCCCAGCAAACTTTAATGTAGCTACAAAAGGAAGCATTGGCCACTTAGGACTAAGTTGTGACCTAGTGTAGTTGATTACATCTCCGTGCTTTTGTTCATCTGTATAGTGAAATTTGGTGGCTTAGTCAATATATCTAGGCATGATCAATTACTCATTTAGCTCAATATTTTCAGCACGTCTCAAATTTTCTATACCATCTGACCTTAATGATCCAGGTCCAAAGTCCTGGTGAGACCTGGCGCAACACAGCCAACAGTGGGCTTCAGACACCCCTGACTGCATGCCCACAGCGTCGTGAACCCGAGTGTCTAGGTCACAGTCAACAGGCAGATAAACAGACCATAGGTTTGGCTGAATCAAACAAAACCCTTGGCATGTTACTCCTCCTGATCCAGTCTGAAAAAGACCTTTCAAGAGTAAGATAACTGTAATTTGCCACAAGGTAACACCCATACTCATCCTCGCATTTTGATTTCACCTTACTCCTATTAATTTATCAAAACAAACCAATGTTTTGGAAATCAGTCTATTTCTCATAAAGATGTTTGGGGTTTTTTTACGATCTGGAAATTAAAGTATAGCAGTAAGACCGCTAAAAAGTCAATTATACTTTCAAGAAAAAATGCACTCACCCCTCACAGTTAGGACAGCTACAATCCAGGGTCTCCAATTGCTGGACTGCAATCCCCGTGGGATGCCCTGTCAGGGCAGCACGGCTGGCTGTGCCAACCAAGGAGCTCTCCTCTACAAACAAATGACTGCAGAGAGACTGCAGGACTTAGTAGAAATAAAAGTTTACTAAGATTAGTTACTTCTCAGCTCTCTAAACTTGAGAGGGTGCATTTTTAGGTCTGTCCTTGCCATGCAGTCTGTGCTGTCAGAATGGAAGAGGTAGGTGTATGGTAGGAGCACACTGCCTGCAGTACAGACTGGAGCAGAGCCAGGAACTTTAATTCCTTTTTCCAGACATCCTGCAGAGTCCTGAACTTTGGTGCTAGGACTTACATTTTCTGGAGGCCTAAGAAATTCACCTGTAATAGCTCCCTTGAACTGCTAACAGCATCAAAAACCAACCAAACAAAAAATCCTTAAAATTATGACTATGCAAATTGGGCTGGGCTGGGTTGTTCTTTGAAGTTTGAGACTTGCAAATTAATGTACATAAAAGAAGGCTGTTTAGTAACTTCCTTGGACACCTCAAGTTTCCCAGCCTAAAATGATCACATCTCTGTAATAATAACTTTCAATATAGGCAAGTTCTCACTTGACACTGAGCTGCTGAGGGAACAGAAGCTGTACGAATGCTATAGCATTTGGTGCTAGGCAACAGATATGTGAATAAAAATGGATATACTTTTAAAATAAGGAATCACATAACATCTTGAACAGCAAGTATTACATCAGGTCTGCTTGCCTTTTTGTTTTCTGATCGGTTGTGAAGTTTTGGCCTTACCACCACATTTATTCTAAACAAACTACCCAACAGTTATTTGGGAAAGGATAAGTTTATTTGTCCTGCCATTAAACAGTCAAACTATATCATACAAAAGAACTTGGTAAACATGATAAGCACTTAAGATTCTCTTCACATGCTTTCACCAAAGTGAAAGTTGAACAAATTGAATGTCCTCTGTTCACTTCATAATCTTTCTCCATAATTTAAACCAAGCAGCTGATATGCATGTCTGTGTGAAGGTGAATGCCCATTTACATAAGAAAAGAGGAGTGTGCTGTACTCTGGAAGTGGAACATCCATAATTTGAATGCTAAAACCTACACACCATCCTGAAGCCTTGATGGGGCAAGGGTTCGGGCAGTCGTCTTCATTTTTTCTCTGGAGGTTCATGTTTTACCCAATCTTCAAAGCCACCAGCATATTGCTGAACTCTGAAAATACGCAGAAGATAAAAAGTTCAGAAGGACTCTTCTTGAAAAAGGTATTTAAAAGGAAATGGCAAAAAAAAACCAAAACAATGAACAACAACAAACATAGAGAAAAAAATCCAACATAAATTCTCTGCAATTATACTTGCACCTAGCTTCCCCGAGCCAGAACATTCCTGGTACTGCAATACTGCCTGCTTCCATGCAGTGTGTAACTCTTCTGTGAAATGACACAATGCTGGAGACATCAAGCAAGTAGTAGCAGCTAGATCAATGAAACAGTCTGCTACTTTTTTTTTTTATAAAAGAACACACTTGCTGCAGTGGGAGATTTACATGTTCTTATATCTAATACTTCAAATGTCATCAAAAAACCGCAGCACACAGACTTTTATCTCCTTGCAACCTACACGCTCTACACATCTGACATAAGCCTGCACAAAACGAAACTCTGAGAAAAAAAAAACACCATGCAAAACAATACTGACTCCTTCAATTAAGGAGCATGAGAAACAGATAATGGAGTATATTTTGCACTTATTAAAACAATATATTCATAAAATAAGAATGTGGTTCCATACTTCTGACTAGAATTATCAGGGATATTCCAGTTCATTAATTGCACTTCAGCAAATACACGAGCAAACAACCAATTTTAAAAATTCTATCTGCAGTCTTCAAGCCAATGAGGCACCTTCTGATATGGGTGTAACAATTCTGCCAACCAAACACTGCTTTTGCTTTCACTCTATCAAACCTATTGTCTTTTTAGCTACTGTCTTCACTGCCTTATTCCTGGCAAACAATCCAGTGCTTTACTCAAGGTGAAGGTCTGCTTTGTCAACAGTGAGCTGTACAGGTGGAACTGCAATTTAACAAAGGGTGTGGTTTCATATATTATTTAATCTAGTTTAAGACTGCACTTCTACCAAAGCAAGCAGTTCTCCAATCATCCTGCATCCCAGGCCTAGTGCTCATGAAGCTGCATAAGGCAGCAGCTTCTTGGTGGAGGACCCCCAGGAGGCAGAAGGACCCTTCAGGTGGCAGCATGGTCCTGCAGCAGACTGCAGCAGGTGCGCAGAGCGGCTGAGGGTTTTTTTCACAGGGCGATACGCCTCACTTTGCTGGAATGCCCAGTGGTGTCTTTCAAGATTTAGTTGAGACAAGCGGAAATGTCTAACTCAAATACCAGTAATTTTGTTCATACTGCACATTTAAATTTCTGCCCTTGCCCACAAAAAGCCAAGTATGAGTTCTGCTTCATGGGAGGAGGCTTTATGAATCCTATCCTTACATGTCATACCTGCTGAAACCCAAGGATGTGGCAAAACCGACTGCTTGTTTACTTCTTGTTCCTGCCAAACAGGAGAAAACCACTGGGTCCGACTTGGATGGCATCTTTTGATTGTACTGCTCTTTGAACTCCGTTGGGTCCATCTGCAGAGCTTCCACTAATTCACCCACTGGGAAATACGGGAAAAGAATTCTCATTTATTCTCCATCCACAGACAAGCTGACACTGTAAAGCTTCTAGTTCCCCTGGAGGAAAAGTTTAGCCTCACAAAACATTAGCTGTCTGGCACAGCTTCTCTTCGCTCAGTCACCGCTTGTCCACAGACTTAACCGTCAAGGTTAACAAAGGGGAACACCCAATACCTCTACATAACCGTGTCTGTAACTTACGCGGTATGTTGACAGATGCGGGGATTCTTCCGAATCTGTCGACCTCCCACCTCTCCCGCACGTCTATGTGGAGAACGTTGATCTTCTTCAAGTCTTTGAGCTCCTGGTAGGAGAGGCTGGGTGCCCCGCCGGCGCAGAGCCCGCGGCTGGCG